GACGTCGCGTGACGTGGCTATAATTTGCCCAAGGTCGTAGTACCAGTAGTAATAGTAGTAGTAGTAGTAGTAGTAGTAGTAGTAGTGGTAGTGGTAGTGGTAGTGGTAGTGGTAGTGGTAGTGGTAGGAGTAGTGGTAGTAGTAGTAGTAGTAGTAGTCGTCGTCGTCGTCGTAGTCGTCGTCGTCGTGGTAGTGGCAGTGGTAGTGGTGGTAGTGGTGGTAGTCGTAGGAGTAGGAGTTGGAGAAGGAGGAGGAGGAGTGGGGGCGTGGGAGTGGAAGTGGGAGCGGCAAGGTCATAATGTCATAGTGGTGGTAGTATTTGCGGGTGTGCGTTCGCTGGTGTTAACCGGCACCAGCAGGAGTTCTAACTATGGAAGGGGTAAAGCAAGAGTACTGACGGCATTTCTGCTAATTCCTAGTTTTAGTGTTGGTAACAGCAGCAGTGGCTGGCAAGTCGCATGATCCTCGCCACTGTTGTTCCTGTGGTGGGACACAGTCACAGTAAGACAAGACGTCGGTTCGAACCGCAAGAGTTTTGCATCTGAGGCTTCCAAGGCCACATCAACTGCCTCTCGCATCACAACTACGGACACCACGCGCCGTGGCGGAAGAGGGGGCTTCCGACCGCACGCTCCGGACTCTCAGACCTTTGAAGCCCTTTAAACTTGGGCGAAATGGGAGCTTCAACCTGCTTACCATGCACGATTGATGCCCCAAATCCCAACATAATTTCTAGATCCCTTGACCGCAAGACTCCGGAGCCCTAAGCTGCAAATCCCAAGACAGCTCCTGCAGCCAAAAAAGCCCCAACCCTGAACCCCACAAGACCGAAACCTTACCAAAGACACTTCGCTTGTGGGCATAGATCTCAGCCATGCGACAGGGAAAAAAGCCCACAGGCAACTACTGCAACAATGCACCTGTGACCCAAGTTTACCTTGCCTTTCGGACGCAGTCAAACAATGAGGGAGGCAAAACAGAACCCAAATACCATCATCAAAACATAAACTCCAAAACCCCCCAGGGCCCCAGATCCCAAAACTTATCAAACCCCTAAACCCTTCCCCCCCGACACCCCCAAAACCAACGGAGCTGAAAAGCCATGCGAGAGGGGGACAGAAATGAAGCAGAAAACTCCCCCAGCCCCTCCTGAGCCGCAAGCTCCAAGGTGCATTCGGAGGGCTTCCAGACCATCGTTTTCAACCCGGGGGATGGTCCTGAGATCGTCATCTGGGACAAGCACCAGGCGGTTCCAACTATGGGTTTACTACAGGTTTCGGGGTCGAAGCTTACTTGGGGGTTTCGGGAGTTTAGGATTCCTTTTAGAGTTTAAGTGTAAGATTCAGATTCATCTTTTTGGGTTCGGGGTTCGGGGTGGAGGGCTGAGAGTTGTGGTTCGAAGGCCCAACGGCTTGAAGAGCTCATGGTTTCTGGGCAGTAGGTTTTGTATAGTCTCGTGGCCTTTTCATTGCACCCTTCAAGCTTTTTGGCACTCTTCAGGAGCAGATTTCCCGGGCCTTGAGCCAGTGTGGAGGATCCTCAAAGTTTTCAAAGTGACTCGCCGCTTCGCCAGGAAGGAGAGTCGAAACCTCAAACCCCTCTATTCCCTCAGCGAAGAGCTCGTGGACCCGCTGCTCCCTTCGGGCTTCTCGGGGTCTTCATCTTACAGGCTTTCGGGTCAGGGGGTAGGGTCCTGCATATATTCTCTTCGGGTCTATAGGTTTATTTCGAAGTCTAGCCACCTTGTACTTGCAACCTGGCTTACAATGCGCACCTGATCCTTCGAGCATCCAGCGTCCTTGCAGGTGAAGTCCATGAGGCACATTGGCTCCTGAGAGAGGATCGGTGCAGCTGGCGAGACATGTAAACGCTACTCCTTGGAAAATTGGAAACGGCCTCAAATGGGGCTGTACTGTCTTTGTGCGGGTACGCACCTTTGTCGTGCGGCTGCAAAAAGGAATCCCCCACATCCGTGGAAGTTTGAGATGCGAGCTTTGACATTGTGGAGGTGCAGGTGTTTCCAGAGAGCATGAACAGCTTTAGCGTCGTCGACGAGCTGCTTCTCTCTCTCGTCCTGAAACCGTCGCAGTTTCCAACCGCTCAGTGTTTTGCCCATGGCCAGGCAAGCAACAACCTGGCGGCCGACCCGTGCGCGTATGGGTGTTCTCTAAATTAGGGCCCCTTTTAAGTCCCAAATATGGCACGGCACCCTTATAAAAAAGGACACCAAAAGGAAGCCCAATTTAGAGAACTACCCATATTATGGGACCTGCAACGTCATCCATCCGCCTTGTCCTGCTAGCTAGGACTGTCTTCGGTGTGTAAAGTGTCTGCTGCTGTTTGAGCTTACACCCCACGCTCGGCAACGCTTCGTGCATGTAATTACATGGGGTCATGAGCATGAGGGTGAAGAGCATGAACAGTCGCTCAGTTCCACCAGCCACACAGCCACAGCCTCAGTTACATGTCAGCTGGTCTCGGCTGTGACAGAGCCTAGAATCTCGTTACTCGTGCCGCAAGATGCTCTCCAAAGGCAGGCTCTGAAAGCAAGAATGTGGTACATCTAGCCCAAGAGGAGTTGGCTGCCATGGATGACGTGGACATCTATGGCGATCTCCTGCCCCCGCAGCCCAAGGCACCCGCCAAGGCCGTGTCCTCCTCAGTGCCGGACCCACGGCTGGCCGATCCGGGCGAAACAGCAGAGCGCCGCGGCGCGGGTACCAGCGCCCATGCGGACTCGCGGCCGTTTCGACCGCGAGCCCGAAACTTGGTTTGGAAGGCACCCGGAGTGGAGAGCCCTGCAGTGACCCGCAAGGAGGCCCAGGTGCCAAAGGACACCGAGCCCGAGGTGGTGGTGCTGGATGATGCGGACCCGCCGAAGACGCAGCCCGCGGAGGCCCCGCCAGCGGAGTCGCCGCCAGCGGAGTCGCCTCCAGCCTCCGAGCCCCCTGCGCAGTCTCCTGCACCGGCCGTCGCCGCCGTCGCTGAAGCAATGGCAGAACCGAAGCCGAAGGAATTCGCGACTCTGCAGAAGGAGTTGCAGGCAGAGGAGGCATGGCTCATGGCGGCCAAACTTGACCCGGAGACTTAAGCTAGGGCGGGGTCGTAGTTACAACAAGCAGAGGAAACCTACTATGTTGAGGACGGGATTTCGAATCATGCCGGCCAGTAGCGTACGAAAGGACCGTCAACGAGACACAAACACGAAACAGCGCGATGGTCCTGTGGTTGAATGAGCTTGCTTCGAAGTTGGTTCGGGTGCCGGGCCGTCTTGGACGGCATGGGGTGGGTGAAACTAATCTAGGGCAATCTAGGGGGTCTGAATGGTTAGTTCAGGGCGTTGAAGTCTAAAGCTCAAGACTCTAAGCCTTAGAGTCAGATCCCTTTATAGAGTCCCAAATATCCTTAGAGTCTAAGGATGTTTGGGACTCATAAGGGGATCTTTCCTCGCTGGAGCGGTGCAGTCGAAGCCCTGACATCGCTCCGCCGTGCCTCGAGGCCTCTGCGTGCCCGGCGGAGCCTGGCAGCCCCGTCTCCGAAGGCGCCGCGGATCTGGACCCGGCCATGGAGGCTGGCGGCTGGTTAGAAGAATGAGTGGTTTGAGTGGTTTAGAGTGGTTTACTGTTCTTTTCTTGAGGGGCTGTTTGGGGGGCGTGGGGGGTGAGAGAGAGAGAGAAGCCTTGGTGTTGAGCGGCTAAAGAGGCTTTGAGAGCCCTCCCTCTCGACGACTTCGGATGTACGTACGTTTCTCTGGAGTCTTGTTTTAGGTTCTCGGCAATCGGAGGCGATGCAGGGATCAAGGGTCATCTTATGGTATGGAGTCTTGTGTTCTTGCATTGCTTCATGAGGTCCTTACTTTACGCATGGGCCACTTTTAGAGGCTCTTCGTTATGACTTTTTTTGAAGGGTTCGTGGGAGCGTGGGAGTTCGAGCATTTCGTACAGGGCTTTTCAGTTTTGTGCGGGTTTCCCGAGGTTCCTGTTTTTCTATAGGATTTCACTGTACAAAAAGAGGGATCGCCACAGAGCAGCCCATTAGCAGCGTAGAAGATCCTCAGCTCCAGATGCACCCCTCGGCCGGGTTTCGGGTGTTCGGCTTTTGGTTTGGGGTTCTGGGGGTTCCATTTGAAGATGTTGCCAAAGCCAATCGCAGTCATCAACCCTCAATGTGAAACCCTTCTGACAGTTACCTCCGGCCTTGAACCTCAGGCTCCACCCAAAAACCCTAATCCCTTAAAGCACAAGTCCAGAAGTGTACCACGTAAACCCTCAGGGATCTTGCAGATGTCGAGCCTGGTTGAGAGTTTGACGAGTTATTCACATTCTCAATGTACCACCATCTGACCACTACTTGTTCCAGTAAAGCAATACCGCTCGCTCTTATTCCCCACCACCACTTCTCTGGATGATGATGATGATGATGCCAGCAGCAGCCGTAAATCGCATACTTGTTCTTCGCCTTCGGTGCAGTTGTCACAGAAACTACTCCTGGCCGTTGCTAGCGGCTTAGTCTTAGACGCTGATGGTAAAGCACGCCACACCCGCGTCGCAAAGGACGGCGGTGTGATCTCTGATGGGACGGAAGGAAGCGAGGCCGCAACGGTCGATTTCGAGCCCTACCTTCGGATTAGAGGTTCTTTTGTGAGTCTCAAGGCTAGATTTTGGGACCTTCACCGATAGTTCGAAGCTCGAGGAAAATGAAGATTTTCAGAAAATTGGAGGGTCGGGTCCCTCATTTAGGGCATGTGTGTCTTTGGTTTTCGAAAGCCTCGTTCCAATTCGAGCGATGCTGTTATGCCTTGAGCTCCTGCGAGGAGCCTTCGGCAATGCAGCGCTGTCAGAGGTTTAGGGCTTAGGAATCAAAGATTAGCTCCTCGCTGCTTCACCCGAACAGATCCTTGTCGAGATTGCCCGAGTCGCAGTTGCATTTTTATACACGAACCTATACTCTTCCAGTGCGCCCAAAACCCAAAACCCAAAACCCTCAAACCCTACACCCTCTGGCCTAGGCATCCTAAATCCGGAACCCTGTGCCCCATCCTCAAACCCTGAGCCCTAAACACGAGTTTTTACACCCTTGACCCTAAGCCAGAAACCATGGACCCTGCGCCCTAAATCTTCAACCCTACACCCAAAACCCGCTTGGCAACTTTGCTGTCCCTGCCAGCCCCTGCAGATTTCACGTCTCTGACCTCAAGAAACATGCCTTGCCCCGACTCTCCGGGTTCTGAGCGCCGAATACCCTGAAACCCCACAGTCTGGCCAGGACGGCGAGATTCACCTCGGAGAGGCCCCGCCGGGGGGGGCAGGAGACCTCGATTCCGAGTGGCCTCTTGGTGTCTTCGGCTCTATGCCGTTGGGAAGGACAATGAACCCGTAAGCGTTTCTTCGGCAAGGTATGTCTGCTACCGGAGTGGAGGAGTTCCCATAAAAGGGCCTTCTTTCTTTGTACTGTGACTAACGAAAGATTGACTTTATATATATATATATACACACATACAGTAGTCTTCAGAAGTGCCCTTTTCTTTGCACTGCTGCAAGGAATCTCTCGAACCTGTAGTCTCAAGCATCAAAGGTCTTGTTGAGGTTCAGTTTGGAAATCATCCGGAAACCATCGCAGAGAGTCGCAACTAGACCTCTAGGGAAACTCTCTCCGAGCCAAAGACCTAGAACCGGCATCCGCCCCACCCCACAAAACGAAAACCTGTCTCTGCTTCGGAGGTGCGCGCTTCCGAGACAGGCACGGCGGCTCCCCACTTTCGGCGTGCTCAGGAGTGCCGGGTATAGTGTCGCCGGCACACTTCAGTTTTGCAGGAGGGATGGGATGCACGCAGCATACATTGTTTCACATGTGTCCACCGCAGCGACAAACCGCGGTGACTGAAGCGTTTGTGTGACAGAACCCGAAAAAGGATGCAGATACTACCATAGTTCCCCCCGCTTCAAGATGGTTTGGTGCATCCCCCAAGCCAAGATATGACGTCCTGGGTTCCGGAGAGCTGCAAGGAGAAGGGCGATTCTGCACCCTCATCTGGTGGCATGGGGCCCAAGGGGCCAAGGCACTTTGGGATTCAGGGGATGTCCGGTGAGTTTTGGGCAAGTGAGGACATTTGCTGCTTCAGAAATGCGAGTCTTGAACACGTGCGAGTATCAGTATGAGCAAACATAGACATGCCACTGTCTACATCCGTATGAGTGTATTTGATTCACAGTCCGAGTGGCGCAGTTGTGTGTGACCCCACATGTGCCAGTACTAGCGGTAGCCGTGTATCATGGTTATACAGTTATACATGTAATGACGTGTACTCTTTCTGTTTCGGGGTTGGCATGAATTGTAGTAACCTGGACGCCAAAGACGCAGACATTGCCACTGCTGCTTGTTTCAGAGCTGATACAGCAAAACCACCGAAGCCTGACAAGCAGGATCAAGAAGAAGGAGATTCTGCTGTTTATCGGGCCGCCACCGCCGTTGCCACCACTTGTGGCCTGGCGGTTTGTGGTTGTAGCTTTGGGCTCGCAAACTTGCTTATCAAAGTATTGCTGGGTCATGAAGTCCTCGTGGTGGAAAAAGGCCAGCCGCATTGCGGCTTTCAGCCCGGAATGCTACACTACAAACCCAGAACCCGGAGAGGACAAGTTGCGAGGCCTAACCCGAAGCAGCCTAGCACGAGCGCAAGGCCACGTGTCCTCAGGTATGCTCTGCTTGGTTTCGATTTCACCGGAATGTTAAATCCCGAACATGAGCCTTCGAAGCCCCTGGTGGATCGGGTTTCAGCCTGGATTTCGAGCAGTCGACCTCGGTGGTGATTGCGGAAGTGGATTGAGATCCGCATCTGTGAACTCAAGAGTTCATGTCACTGCGGAAGGTCCTGTAGCCGAAAATCGGGCGACTTTCCTGGCGTGAGGAAAGATGGAGTAGCTACGACAGCTACATTGTACCCTGTATTACTTCAGTAGAGTGTGCTTGTGGTTGTCTTGTATGTTTCGTATGGTTCAAATCCATGCACGGCGCCCCAATCTTAACACTTGTGCGCCCACCACCCCTCACCCTGCTTTGTATTACAGGGTCCCAAAGCCCTAAAACCCTAAACCCTCAACCCTAAACCCTAAGTCGTCCCCAACCAGGGTCAGCCTGGCGAGAGCAGTTCGCTGCTGATTGGAGGCCTCCCGTGGTGGCGCGGGCTGCACAAGTTCTTGGGGCTTTGGTTTCCTGGTCCGTCTTGGGTCCCTAAACCCTAAGGGAACAAAACCTGTCGTAGCTGGACCAGTGTGAGTTTTTTTGGGGTGAGCTGGACACTTCAGCAGAGTGAAAGGCCCAAGACACTGAGCATAAACACCCACCGTAAGCCAAAAACCCGCAAGCCCTAACCCCAAATCCCAAAAGCCCGAACCCCAAATTCCAAAAGCCCTAACCCTAAAGCCCCAAAATCCCAAAAACTCTCCCGTATCAGACCTTAGGGCTCTTTTTTTTAGGAGGCAAAAAAGCTCCAATCAAGGTCTGATATGGGAGCCTGATGAGCCCTAAACCCTAAACCCTAAACCCCGACTTCAGAAGCTCTGGAGCCCCCAAACTCGGATCCTCAGAGCCACTGGTTGTAGGGTTTTTCTGGGTTTTTTTGGGGTTTTGGGGTTTTGCGGTTTTGGGTCTTAGGGTGTTGGGGTTTTGGGTTTAGGGTTTAGGGTTTTAGGGTTTAGGGTTTAGGGCTTCTAAACCCGATGTGCTGCGAGGGATTTGGCCGGGCGAGCTCAGTTCAAGCCTGTGGAAAAGGGCTTCTAAACCCGGGTTGCACCTCACCGGGAAACCTTGCCGTCGGTGTGTGCGAGGGTCGAGGGACTGAGATGCTGCCAGTATGACTTCGCTAGATAGTAGGGCTTAGGGTTTAAGGTTCAGTATTGCCTGGGTTGAGGCTTGGTCAAAAGCTCGCTGTGCCACTTTTTGAGAAGACCGTCTCAGGAGTTTCCGAGTTCAAGCGCCTCAGCAACCCGAACCCTTGGCGATGAGTCCTCAGCCTTTGCCAAGGTGGCTAACTGACACGGAGCTGCGAAGGCCCGGCCTAGCCTCCCGATACTGCTTCTTCTCCTATTGCAGGTCTTCTGCATGAACTTTTCCGGAACGCGTAAGAAGGGTCTCAGCATGTCTCAGCAGAAAGTATGGGAGCCCGACATAAACTCCAGACCTTTGTTGCAAGGACGCCTACTTGACGCCTAAGCTGTCCCAGAGTCGAACCAGCTTCAAAGCTGCACAGGTATGGCGAGCAGTACGGCCAGGTCCGGCGACTGAGGAGGGGAGGGGTTTTTGGGAATTCGGGGGCATGGGGCTTCAAAGATGTTCGCGGTCCTGCAAACCTGACCAAACCTTGTTCCCCGAAACCGAAACCCAAAGCCCCACAAGGATCCTGGATTTCGCTGGCAGCGGCAAGTCCGCCGGCGTCGCGCTCCTGGAATTCGCGCAAGTGGATGCTACGAGGCTGTCGTATCTGGGTTTGAAAGTTTGAGTGCTTAGGTGTTTCAAGTGTGTTTTGTGGCATCTTGGGGTTTAGGGTTTGGGGTTCAGGCACTTCAGAGAGACCTCGTTCAACACGGCGGGAAAGCTTTATAACTCTCTCGCCAAAGCCTTCAAAACGCTATGCCACAGTCAAAGCTACAACCCCTATGGCCTTCACTGAATCCTTAAGCTGCTAAAGAGTCCAGAGCCCGCAGCTTCCCTCGTTTTGCAGGCAGGCACTTCGCCCTGACGTCGGCCTTTGCCGACCCCAACTCTGGTCCTCGACTTACAGACTGTGGGGTTTTGAGTTTAGGGTTTTTGGGGTTTAGGGTTTAGGGTTTTACCGGTGGAGGGTTTTCGATTGCACAGGGTTTTGGTGAAAAAAAAGGCTAAGGGTGTGCACTTCAGGGTGTCGTATCGCGCAAGGACCAGAGTAATGCAGAAGCCCGAGAGCCCGAGAATCTGAAATCCTGTGCGGGCTTGGGGGAGCGCTTGTGGCGTGTGCAAACCTCTGTGGCGCGGCTTTGACAAGAACCTGCCTTCGCCCCCTTGGTTTGGGGGCTCAAGTGGAGCCGTCATCTATGCATCTCCCAGCACCAGCAGACATATCAGAAACCTTGAAGATGGGCCATAAGGCCCGTTCCCCCGAAACCCTGCCAGCAAACCCCTCAAAACCCCAACCCCACTACCCGCGCTCGAGCCCAAGCCCGAAAGCAAGAGCACCCAAAACTCCATGGATTGTGAATCCCAGGTAGGTCATCCTTCCATGCTAAACCGCACAAAAAGCCTACACGTCCCCCGAACTTTGTGGGGTTTGCGCGCGTAATGAGGTTCCCTTAACCCTGAACCCTCACACCTTCCCTAAATCTGCTGCCCTCAATCAAACAAAAACCTCGACCCACGCGACAAAGCCAAACCCCGAGCTCGACATATCCATGAGTAACCCTAACAACTCCACAGAAAAAAGAGGCAACCCCAACAACCTCCCGAGCCCTACCCTCCTAACGACCCCCACACCCCGAAAGCCTAAACGCAAAACCACCCAAAGAGTAAATCCCAAGGCGGACTCTCGGGGCTGCCCCACGCGCCGCGGCCGTCGGCGGCGAGCTTCGGGGGCGGCTGCGGGAAGGCGCGGGCAGGCTTTGGGGCTTTCGGGATGCTATGGTAAAAGGGTTTAGGGTATAGGGTTTAGGGGCAATACCTCAGGGTTGTGGTGCAGTGATATGCCATAAAACATTAGGGCGTTGGTTCGGGCCTTCCATGTGATCGGCCGATTTGGGGCCTCTGGCTAATGGGGGCTGCAAGAACAGTATTCCTTAGAGTTCCCCACTGTATGTATAGTGGAGAATACCCTGTTGCGTCATTGCCACTAAGCCCCTACATTAAGGTGCCACAAGGACAAGCGAAGAGCACGGTTCTATTGAGCTTTTCGGAGTTGGCAGCAGCTCTTCTGCCGTCTGCAAGCCATACGTTCCGGGTTGTATTGGTAGCCGAGGTCCGTTTTGCTGGTGGGAGCTCTGGGCGTGTGCCATGAGCTTGGGTGGCTTCAATCCGTGCAGAAGCCCTGCAAACGTATTACATATATTACATCCACACAAACTACGGGTTCTACTCTAGGAAGTTGTTCCCTTCAAATCCATGCCGGTAGTGGTCAAAGATGGGCCACTGTTTAAGAGTTCCATGCTTTGTGACATCAAGACCGTTAGAATGTCACTCAAAAGAAACCACACCGCGCTGAGCTCCCAACGGTACGGACCTTTCAATGCAGCAGAGGCACTGTGCCGTGGCTGGACGGTGGCCCATGCAGCGAGGTCTTTGCAGCGACAGTTCTCACGAAAAGTGCAGGGTATACTAAACCCTGAACCCTGCGCCCTACCTCTTTCCAGTCTGGATGGCTTTTCAACGTGGAGTCTGCCTGTAGTCCACTGATCTCGGGGTCACCCTGCAACGCGGGCTTTGCTTATGCTAGGCCTGCTAGGAGGGTAGAATCTTACGTCAAGACTAGAGCAACCTCGCTTTGTTGGTATGGTCCTAGCATGTCCTAGCCATGCGAGAGGGGAAAAACTATTGAAAGCACCCTGCACCGGAAACGCTTCGGTGAAATGTCCAAGTGTTCTTGGCTAGTCTTGCTTTGCGCACTGGGCCTCGGCTCCGGTAGTCCACTGTCCACCGTGCCGTTTCTTCAAACAGAAGCAGGGGCCGGATGGATCCTTGATACAGGGACCCTCAAGAACAAGTTCAGGAAGCCCTCATTCGGCTGGCCAATTTCTTTGGGCATTCGTCTGGTTTGATCACGAGCGGGCTGAGAAAGCATGTTATATGTTTACGCTGTTTTATCTCATAAAAAACATACTATTACATGTCAATTACTAGTCAATATTCTATTATATGCCGGCGCCACAAACTCAAAACCACAGAGCGTCCTTCAGCCTGACAGACACCGTATGATGGGGATCGGAAGAATTAGTTAAAGCCTCTTCTTAGAGTACCAATTTTGTTCTAGTATATCCCAGTATATTCTAGCATAGGTATCAGGTGTCCCTTTTTCTTAAGGCCCCCTATACTACATCCCTAGATGCGTCTCCGCGCCTCGGGTTGAAGCCCTACGGCTCCTGCCAGGACCTACGGGCGATGCTGCTAAGACAGCGCCCTGGGTGCACTTGGACTTCTCGGGCTCAGGAGTTTCCTTCAAGATTTTCCAAGTTTTCCTGTCCATAGGCATGCACTGTTTTCATAATCCCTGCTACTACCACTACCACTACCACGACCACTACCGCCACCACCACCTGCTGCTTCTGATACTGCTACTGTGAACTGTTCTTGCTGCTACTGCTGATCCTGTTGCAGAGACATGTGCTGCTACGGTAGTACTCAATAGTACTCACACACGCAACACGTGGTCGCGTTCTATCCGT